GCTGCAGCTGGTGCCTCATGTCCCTGTCATCCCCAAAACCCTCACACCCATCTCCCTGGTGTCTCGTCCCTGTCACCCCGTGTCCTCATCACCCTGTGGTTTTACATCCTTAGTCACCCCCTGTTCATGTCACCCCGTGTCCTCACATCCTTGTTTGCTTCGTGTCCATGTCACCCCGTGTCCATGTCACCCCATGTCCATGTCACCCCATGTCCTCAAGTCCATGTCACCCCATGTCCACGTCACCCCGTGTCTTCACATCCTTGTTCCCCCTGTGTCCTTGTTCACCCCATGTCTTCACATCCTTGGTCCCTCTATGTCCTTGTTCACCCCATGTCTTCACATCCTTCGTCACCCCATGTCCTTGCTCACCTCATGTCCTTGTTCACCCCATGTCCTCATGTCCATGTCACCCTGTGTCTTCACATCCGTGTTCACCTCATGTCCATGTCATTCCGTGTCCTCACATCCAGGTCACCCTGTGTCCATGTCACCCCATGTTCCTCACATCCTTGTTCACCCCATGTCCGTGTCACCCTATGTCCTCATGTCCTTGTTCACCCCATGTCCTTGTCACACTGTGTCTTCATGACCTTAGTCACCCCATGTCCTCATGTCCTTGTTCACCCCATGTCCTTGTCACACTGTGTCTTCATGACCTTAGTCACCCCATGTCCTCACATCCATGTTCACCCCATGTTCCTCACATAGTTGTTCACCCCATCCATGTCACCCTGTGTCCTCACATCCATGTTCACCTCGTGTCCATGTCATTCCGTGTCCTCACGCCCAGGTCACCCCGTGTCTGTGTCACCCCATGTTCCTCACATCCTTGTTCACCCTGTGTCCATGTCACCCCATGTCCATGTCACCCCGTGTCCTCACGTCCTTGTTCACCTCATGTCCATGTCACCCCATGTCCATGTCCCCCCGTGTCCTCACGTCCTTGTTCACCCCCTGTCCCCCCGTGTCCTCACGTCCATGTTCACCATGTCCTCATGTCCTCGTTCACCCCATGTCCTCACGTCCTTCTCCTCCCGTGTCCCCGGTGTCCCCAGCCACTCCGTGCCCCCCAAACACCCTCTGGCTCCCCGCGCCGACCCCATCCCCTGCCCCGGTGTCCTTGTGCCCCCCCCCCCGCCGGTGTCCCCGGTACCCGGTCTGGCAGCAGCCGCAGTTGTCCCCAGACACTGGGGGGTCCCAGCGCCAGCCCCAGCTCCTCCCGCGTCTCCCGCAGCGCCGTGGCCACCGCGTCGCCGTCCGCCGGGTCCCGCCGCCCCCCGGGGAAGCTGTAAGAGTTTTAACGGGACCGGAGAGGGGAGGAGAGGAGGGGAGTGTCCGGTTCAGCGCCGGGCCGGCCCCGGTACCCGCTCCCCGACCGCCGGTACCTGACGTCGCCGCTGTGGGGGCCGCCCAGGCGGCGGGACCGGAGGGTGAAGAGCAGAGCGGGGCGGCCCCGCACCGAGCACAGCGGGACCAGCACCGCCGCCACCGCCGCCGCCGCCCCCCCGCGCCGCCCC